TTCCTACCATGGTGCCATAGCTCAGGTGCTTCTGCTCCTGTCCACCCCTGGCTGCTGCCTGAGAGAAGAAGGGCTGTCTCTCAGGCTCCCTGGGTCTAATGCTTTGCCCACAGCCCTATCCATAAGTTGCAGAAGGCTAAGAAGTGTACCTTTCCTCGGTCACTAAAGCCTTTTAAATATTTGCTCCTTGGTGCCCAGATAAACATTGCTATTATGACTCCCAGTTACGTGCACAAGCATTCTCATACACGTGATAAGTGCTTCAAATCATTCTACAGAATAGGCTGATCCTGGAGCACTATAAATTGCTTTAAATTCCTTTACATAGATTCACAGAATCAACTGGGTTGGAAGAGACCTCAAAGATCATTGAGCCCAACCCTACTGTGGTTACTAGACCATGGCACTAAGTGCCACATCCAGTCTCATCTTGAAAACCTCCAGGGATGGTGAATCCACCACCTCCCTGGGCAGCCCATTCCAATGTCTGATTAATCTTTTTGTAAAAAATCTCTTACTAATATCCAATCTAAACCTCCCCTGGCAGAGCTTGAATCTGTGCCCTCTTGTCCTCCTGCTGGTTGCCTGGGAGAAGAGACCAACCCCCACCTGACTCCAACCTCCTTTCAGGGAGTTGTACAGGGCAATAAGGTCTCCCCTGAGCCTCCTTTTCTCCAGGCTGAACAGCCCCAGCTCCCTCAGCCTCTCCTCATAACACTTGTGCTCCAGTCCCTCCACCAGCCTTGTTACTCTTCCCTGGACCATGTGAGGATTAAAAGAAGTGACTGGAGACAGGAAGGAGCTTTCCTTTGATAAAAAGTCAGAGCAGAAGCACGGTGTCCAACGCTGCAATAACATAGGGGATTTTGGGGAAGTTAAAGCTAAAGACACTAGTTTTGCAAGTGAAAAGTTGGGATGGCACTTGATTTTTAAAAAAAGCAAACCAAAACCATAGGTCAATAGTCAATCAGGTGTTCACACCTACACCAAAGCAAAAGGAAAAGGATAAAAGCAAGTTTGCTTCTTTTTCAACAAGACACAAAGAACGTTGCCAGGGTGCACAAGTATGGGACGATGATGAAAGGAGTATGCATTTAGAAGAAAAAGAGAAAAATCTACTCTTCTATTACCTAGAACAAGAGTCAGGATATAAACCCTAGCAGTTACAATATTGATTTTTTTTTTGCAACGATACATACTGCTTTAGAGGAGCAGTCCTTTATTTGTAACTGGACTATTTACTGTTTCTCCACTGAATCCTAAAAAAAAAGTTGACATTTCCACCATATTCTCCATTGAGTATAAAGATGTATCCTACTACTTCTAGCACAAACAAGCCTGGTGAGAGCATCACTTCTTCATCTAAACAATCTGGCATTGGCCTCCACTGGAACAAGGTTACTGAATTAGAGGAGCAATTATTCTGTTTTAGCATCTGTTCCCCTTAAAATTTATGTGCCGCTCAGTACAGACTATAAAAGGCCGTATGAATTCCGCTTCCCTGAGCGAACCCCACTCGGTGCAGCTGAAGCAGCTCCGCGGCTGCCATCGGGGCTGTGCTGGCGCCCTCTGCTGGCTGACACGCACAAACTGCAACTGACCCCCGGGAGATTTTTTTTTCCCTCTTTTCCATAAATTATGGAACTGCACCGAAGATCACAGCATGGCACAGAAACCATTTCTTTTAGAATCCACACGGGAAAGTTGGTCAGTTCAACTGTGACTACAGCAGTATCAAAATTGCCAATCCAAAGCAATAAAGAAAACCAGCCATACATCATAAAAAGCTTTAAAAAAATCTAAACTCCCTTTAGAGGAAAAATAGGCACGCTGGAGGAAGAACACAAAAGAAATACCATTTGGGGGTACTGCTTAAGAAAATCAGTCCATTTTATGTCCAGAATTCTGAAGTAGATTTGGGAAGCTACTTTTGCTCTCATTTTAACTTTTAGTTACTTTCTAACTGTTCTATTATATTACATTCAGGTAATAATTACCCAACATATTTTAAAATAAATCGAATATGTGTCTAAATAGATTTTCATATGTTGTTTGATAGCAGTCCAAGGACATTTTTTTAAAGTTTATGAGAAATTTAAGCATGAACTATTCTAAATTTTAGGAATGAGTTAGTTTGGAAGATGGGAATTTCTTTAGTACTTTAATATTTGCACTCATACAAAGCTGCAGAAAGGCATTAGTTACTTGTCCATCTCTGGATTACAGATTACTTTTCTCTTAAAAAAAATCAACTAACCATCATGAAAAAAAAACGTTTAGCCAAAGAAGGAAATAGCTCACAAATATCTCAGAGTAAATCAATGTAAAATGGCCAAGCTCTGGTTTTTTCTGGCCCTTACTTTCAAATATTAATGTTGATATGAAAGATTATACTAAAAATTTTGAAGACAAGGCAGAAGTTTTAACCTAGCCTTGACTACAGAATTTGGTCTTTGTAAAGGAGAGACATTTTTCTACATTCTTCTACATCTTTCCTAACCAGCCTAAAATTTCAGCTGAGGATGAACTGACTTTTTTCCCTTCTCTGAAACTGAGATGAGACATCAAATTCCTCTAAATTTAGGTTCCTATAAAATCACTCTAGGCTTTTGGTTTTGTTTACACACACACAGTTCTGTGGTCACTTACACTGAGAAGACAACAAATGATAAATGTATAAACCAAAATTATTAAACAATTTAGAACAGTAAACTTCTTATAGCATGTACAATTCCTTTATTGACCATCAGATGAACTGTGCCCAGGGCTTATAACTAAGATCTAAAAGTTCTTCCCTTAGGTCCAAAGATTCTTGTCCCTAGTACTGTGCAAATTTCCTCTCACCAGAGATTGCAGCCTCGTTATGAATGAAATGTCTGAGACAAGGGTAACAGGCCCTGACATTCACACATTTCTGCTCAGTGGGTTACAACTTAAATAAATTAATATAAGAATATTTCTCTCATGTAGTATTACCTCTATTTAGTCTTTGTTCCACTCAGACAGTTCCTCCTGGAATTATTTAAATATGGATTATTTTGAACAGGCAACCAGAATATAAACCACAGAAACAGTCCCCAGTGAAATTTCAGAATTACAGATTCAGTTTTTTCCATGAGGCTCTGGTGATTATGACTGTAAAAAGTGTTATATACTGCAAGGCTCTATCAGTATATAATCATGAACTGAAGCAAAAAAAAAGGATGCTTCAGATCATGCTTGGGTTTAGAACTTCTGCACGTTGCCCAATAAACATGACGTTACACACTGTACACTGCACCACCATTCTTCTTCCATCAGTACAGAGAGGCCACTGGATTTTCATTCCTTAGAGAGAAACACACATTTCCCAGCACATAGCTAACTTCAAATCCATCAGCTACTAATGTTCTGTAATAACATCTCAATCATTTTCTTGGGGGAAAAATAAAGAACAGGAAGAGAAACACGCAATCTACAATGCAATGCATTAGGTTGTTACACATTGTGTATTTCTAGATAGAATATGTCAGTGAACATTTCTCTAACTCTCGTTTTGGTTATTAACATCCTAGTATTCCTATTATTCCCATTAATAAATTTGTAGAGCAGAAAGAAATAGCCTGTCATTACAACCACAGTTTCTTAAGAGGCATATTCATTAACAACAATTTCAATAATTAGATCAATCACACCTAAGTTTGCAGAAACTCCATCCTGCAAAAATGTTGATGTTACAGTTTTGTGGCAGATAAAATCTTTCCATCTGAATGCCTGAACTCCTCCTCAAATAAAATAAGAAAATTGTCATGCACAAAACCCACTAAGAAATGGCATTTTCTTAATATAGTATTGTACATTTGTCTCTTGCATATACCCTGATTGCATTCAGAAATAGGCCCATGGGAAAAGAACAGCAAACAAACAAGATTGGATAAGTCTGCAAGATTTCCATCTCCAAGCAGCTGCAGGCTGGATTTGACACCACACAGCTCAGGGGACACCTGCAGAGGCAGGTATGTGTTCACAGTGGAGGATGCAGTGGCCGCACGGGGTGGGAAACAACAGTGCAAGCAGTGCAAACCCTTTCCATCACAGAGAAAAGCAGTGCTCTATGATTATCCTAGTTTTCCCTCAGGCATCCAAATGCATCAGGCTTCCCTGCCAAGCTCCTGTCATCCATTGGCAGCCACATTAAGAACGGTCTACATCTCAGTATTATTAGAATAAGCTGGTTTTAGTTATAGAAATGTGAATTTGGCAGTATTGCTACAAGCAAACACAAATTATACAAATCAATTACTATTTGGAAAACAAACTGGCTTATATTTACCACTGATCAATGATACAGCAGGGTACTTAATGACACCCAAGCATCTGCAGAACATGCAAGCTGTGCCAACAAAATATATAAACTTGAGAGTCTTGGACATCTACCTAGAGCTCTTTAGCTGATGCCCCTGGACTCTGATGAATTTACTGTGCACACATCATGCACACATAACTAGCAGCTGCAGCAGATGAATCCCTCAATGCAGCTTTAGGACGAGATGAAGAATGAAAGGAATCCGTAAAAAACGCCACTCATTTACAGAAGGTTGGTGCTATTACAACAAAAACAGACAACGGAATAAAAACTGCGCTTTGGGTGTAGCTGCAACAACTCACATCCACAAGTCCTTCAAATATGACAGTGTTTGGTAAAATGATCTCACAAGAAGAGAGCTGTGACAGAACTAGAATTTAATTATGCAGATAATTAGCTTAAGTTGTTTCCTTTCAGATTATATTTTATTTTCGCTAACTTTCAATTATATTGTCTTTCCATTTTCCACACTTTTCTGGGGAAGTTTATAGCTGTTTTCAAATTCAACATTTTCCATCTATACTTTTTGCAAATAAAAATATTACTATATGATCAATCACTTGATCTTTATCAATGTACAGTATAACACATGCTGCTATAATAAGCTTATGTGCATGAACTTTGCTTACAGTAAATAGAAGATCGTGCAACTTACCCAAAGTCTCTTTCCCCAGCTCAAGAATTCTTACCTCATGACAGGAGAAGAGCCGAACTCCTTCCATCTGATGGAAGACTGGGTAGTGGGTGTTATCAATTGTATCACGGCGGTAGACATCTCCCACTGCCAGAAAGGCATCTAGGCCAGAGTGTATCAAGTCCCACTGATGAGCTGATGTATGTGCTCTTAGCATGTGGTCACGATTCAAGTAATAGTTATCCTCTTTCCTCCTGCTGGCATGGTTTTGTGGGATAAGTAAACTATCAAAATTCTGCTGTACTGTAACCACGGGAGAAAGAGCATCATAAACAGAGAAGAGTGGAGTCCCATGGCGTCCTATGTATTGTTTGTAGAAGTGGTCCTTCACCTGCTCCTTGATTAGCCACAGAGGGTGATGTTTTTTGTTGTGCAAGTTCTTCCCCACCTTGGAAAGAATCTTCTCTGTGACATTGCTGTAGTCATCTTGAGGATAAGCTTTACCAAGCAGTTCCACAGTATTTGAGCAGGGTGCACTAGCAACAAAATCTGAAGGTACAGACTTGGATGAAGAATGCCTTGAATGGGTGGCAATTCCTCTTACCTTTACTTTCGGTGATAAAGCTGTTTTAGAATACTTAGCTACTCTCATGAATTTCCAGAGCATTGCCATTGTAAACTTTTTTTATGATCTAAGAAAGAAAAAAAAAAAACAATTACAAATTTTTGAGTTAGGAACTTCAGTCCTCTTGCAGGAATTGCCAGTATCTCAGGGAGACATGAAATCCAAATGTCTGCTTGATTAGTATAATAAAGTTCCCATTATAAACCAATATTTTGACTTCAGAGGAGGAAAAGTACCCCTGTGATCAAGTTTCAGCTAAGATATCTTATTCAATTATCAGGCTTCTGCATCAGCATTAACAACTCTAGACCTAGCCTTAACCCCATTCCAGGTAATGCTCTTTACAGCTGAATAAACATCAGGCCTTCGAAACAGTACTTTTCATCTGGTTAGAATAGGAAGTAACAGCCAATTATTACTCACGAGAAACTCAGAAATTTAACTTCAGTAGTCAGAACTTGCTTGTAATAAACCCCCAAGCATTAACTTATTGTTATACCACCTCCTACAAGAGCAAAAGCTGTAGAACACGTTCCACATCAACCTGATGCCTGTGGCATACACTATTACGATCATCACTAATTCTTACTTAATGCCAAACAAAATCAGTTTAACCTTTCAAACTACTGAACCACTGTGAAAAAACAGATGGCCAGACCACAAGTCATACATTTATATATAAACAGCATATTAAATTCACATATGAGTATTGCACAAGATTAACAATAAAGGCTCCATATAGTCAAAGTGAATGTTAGCATTTTGGGATAAGCACAAAACCCGTTTTTCCATATGTTCCCAAAATGGCTATTTTCACAGCCTCCACTGCTGTACTGGGCAGGCAGGCTTGTCAGACATCAGAAAGGTGATGAAGTAATGAGATTCTCAAAGATGTTTGAACATTTCCTACCGAAGGGTCATCTTTACACATCCTCCCCGATTACAAACAGGCTTTGGGCTTCATGTGTACACAGCTGTATTACTCTGTAGCATTCAAAGAGATAATTCCAAAAACAGAGTTTTGAAGATGATGAACTTGCAGTCACTCCAAATGCATAAGTATATTCTGAGATGTAAACTTGCTTGAAAATCTATAGTTGGGCTTCAGAAATATTAGCATAGGTTCTTGTGAAATAATTAAGCATTAAAATTTGCTTATTATGGAATGGGAAAACAGATGCATTAGAAGTGACTGGGGAAAGGCACCTGCTCCAAACAAACTGGCTTGTAATTCTCTATGAACCAAGAAAAATACAGGGCCACGGGTTTTCTGGGTGAACGAATTTTCTGTAGACATGATCCTAAAGAACTGGGGGAAGAAAGGACATCAGCAATGAATACACCACAGTCTTCAAGGGACACCTTTCCACCTTTATGTTAAGATTACAGTATCTGGGTAGCTTTCCATAGGAGCATAAGAGAAGCAAGTGTAAATTAAGAACAAACAAGATGAGATTATTTTTCATGTTCTCAAACTTCAAAGCATGTACACAGATAGAATAGAAATCTGCCAAAGATAATGTCTATGTCCATATTTGTCTGTCTTTCTTCTGCCTTACACCTAGATGTTCTCTATAGGTTTATTTCATGAAGGAATTGTACCTCAATCGATCAAAATAAACGAAAATTGGGTAGACAGAAATTAAATTTGGCAGGGCAGCATAAGATTACTAAATATTTGGTTTAATCCTTTTTCTGGTTGAATATCCTCAGAAATAAAGAGCAGCTACAACTCATCTAGTTTTGAAACTTTTAAGAAGGACTCCCTTTGACAGGGGTGCAATTAAGAGTTTACAAAACTACTCCACTAAATTAGCTCTTGACAATTACTGAGAAGATTCTTCCATAGATAAATTCACACACACAGCAGAAACCCCTCTGACACAGGCTAAACAAGGGATAGTCTTACGTTGTGAAAAGAGGCTCCATTTTCCCGAAACATACGTTCTCCTTCATGGAAAGTGAGTTCTCATTTTCAAACAGCTGCTTGAAATACCCAGTTCTAGTCGGATAATGAATTCGGCTTCCCTTAAGTAAATATCACCATCTGCCCATATACTTATTTTTCTAAAAAATTTAATTCAAAACTTGTACATAACTGTAAAGTACAAAAAAACTCTCATGACTATCGTGACTCTCGTGATGTTTGCTGCATTCCTAAATATCATTGCTCTGAGAATCAGACAACCACATGAGAAGTTTAACTTTCACATAAAGAGTTCTCATGATTATAAATTTATGGAAAAAGAAATTAGAACATGAACCATAAGTGCTGGGGGTGAGGAGAGGATCTTTTATTCATTTGTTTACTTAAAGGCTCATGATTTTTAAGGGAGACTCTTAAGGGCTCATCTGATGATATTTAGTATTTGTAATGAGCAACACTGCTACCAGTTTCTGATAGTTCAGAAACACTAATTTTTCTGAGCAAGTGATAATACTCCTCATAAATTTGTGCAAGATAAAAACCTACAGATGAACTTGCATCAGTTTTCATTCTAACATTACGCTTGTGCCTTGAATAGTTAAATAGCATTATTACCTGCATTATTATTCTAATCTGAAGCAAAATATACTGTGAGCAGTAAGAAAAAAAAGTTACAGTTAATCAATGTTTTCTGATGAGTTATCCACTGTCCAAGTGCTGCAAACTACAGGAAACAAGCAGTAAAGGAGCCACTGACATGGTAGCACACAGGACACCAGAGATATTGAAGTCCTCCACCAACACTGCTGCTTTCCTCTCCCACCACAGACTCATGTATCCCTCTTTTGGGGTCATTACAGAAAAATGGCATTAGACTTAGTTCAGCTCAACTGTTGATAAGATACATTTGGGGAGAGAAGCCACAGAGAAAAAAGAAATAAAATACATTTACACTCTGTACACCATGCACAAAATCTTCAAATCAAAGTAATGTTTACCATGGCAAAGAGCAACACTGAAAAATAAAGAAATCACTTTACCTTTCTTCTAGCGATAAATACCTAGTGTTAAGGATACACTAATTACTTATGTTCACTTATAATAAATAGTCATTTCTAGTAGACATTTATCTAAATATCTGCAAAAGCACAATTTAAATTTATTATTTTCTTCCTTCATTTTCACCATGCTTATTATTTGGCAGTGCAATAAAACTGGTTTCTGTGCACACTAACAAAACCCGAATCCCACGGCAAGGACTGCCAGCCAGTTAACAAGCACAGCAAGCCAAACAGCAGCTGCAGGTCCTGTAGCTGAAAACAAACACATAAACAGGAAATAAACATGGAATAACCACTATTGGCACCTAAGATCCAAAGATGGCAAAGTGCTCCACCAGCATCACTAGTGGGTCATGCGCTTCAGGCTTGACAGTGACTCCAACTTGCAGCTGGGGGCTGATACAGGGCTTTGGGAGCAGGCTGCCCTGCCCACAGCTCCTGGTGGGGCTTCTCAAAGCACTGCAGGTGCACATGCAAGCACCAGCCCCACCATCTCCTGTTACACAGGTCCTTACCCAGACATTGCCACTGACACATTCCAGGGTACCTCAGCAGCTCCTCTGAAGCTACATGAGCCTCAAGTCCCTGTGCCTCAATCTCCATACCGAGATGTCTACTACAACTGCAGGAACTCAGATCTTTGATAGGGATGATATCATACATTACATTGTGGCAATACATTTGGAACTATGCCTACAACTGGGTATGAGCTTTTGAGTAGCTTCAAGGTAGACCAGAGGGCAGGAGGTGTCATCCATTTCACCCAAGGATGAAAGCATCAGTATGACCCAGTCTGTGCTGTGGATAAAGCAGACACAGATGTGATCCCACTTGCCAATGTCAGACCTCTACCACAGACCGTGTGACATTTCTACAGCAGTTTCAGTTGATGGGCAAGGCTCCTTCACCCCCCATGGCAAACCAATCATCCCCCACGCAGCAGCCCAGCAGACATTACACACAGCCAAGCACACCACAGTCAGGAGCCTGACAACAGGGAAACTGCAGACAGAACACATCAGACAAAAAAAAAATCATGATTTTGGAGCCCATGCAAAAAGCAGTTTGATGTGATAAGGGATCATGTTGCTGTACTGTTAAGGCATGTACTTTCATGTCTAAATCCAGGTTTCCATGTCACAGTGCAGCAAGGATTAAGACATCATTATCACAGTTGCAGTGAGTGGTATTTGTCACAATTCCCCTCTACTCAGCTGAGGTTTAGGAAAGAATCGTAGACTCAGTGAAATTCCTCCTTACCCCTGCCTTGAAAAAGGAGGAGAAATGAGGGGTAGTTTAGCAGCTCACAATGAAAAGGGCTGTACACCAGCATTGTTTTCCTCACCCACTCCTCCCAGGAAAGTGAAAGAGAGCAAATGCTCCTGTTTGAGCAAATGAGAGCCCAGTGGTAAACCAAATGTGTCTGTTTCAGGACCATTTGCTAGGTGTTTGCATCTGTGAGCCAAGGGCATCCTCACTCCTGCTGACCACTCTTCCCTATGCCCTGTGCTCGTTCCAGCTTATGCCTGCAGAAACACAGATGGGCTAGTGCATACATAAACCGAACTACATGACTGGTTTGAAACCAAAATTCTACAAAGATGAGAGTCTGTCTCCTATCCAAGAATAGCTAATTAATGCAAGACTCTGAAGTGCCATGGAAAATGTTAGAAAAGTTGGGCTGCCACCATTTTGTGATGTGACAGCTTTTATCTACCGTATGTGTGGGGAGGGGAGTTCAACCAACATAGCATATGTTAAAACAAAAATTATAAACATATGCTAGGCTGCTAAAATTGGACATTTACCAGTCTGCTTAGCAATTTAGCTAAGCATTGAATTTTAGTTTTGAAAACTATGTAGGCATACAGCAGCAAATATCATTGTATTTCCATGACCAAGTCTATATTGCATAGAATATTACATTATTTTGCATGCAATACTAATAACAAGCTCAGATGTTTTTCATGCTCATTTTAAAATGTTGATACACTGTTGCACAGCAGAACAGACTTCCACTCTTACTGAGCATGCTGAATTTATGTAATACATAAACAGACCTCTGAA